AGTTTCAACTAGTGTATGTCGCGTTGCCCAGTGCCGTGTCTGAGCACTGTTGCGCCAGGTGTCGCACTGGCCAGCTCCCCGCCACTTGCCTGCCTTGCAGCACTCTTTCCCCGCATCTTTAGCACATTTTTTGAAAGACAAATCTTCAGCACAGTTGTCCTGTAACCCTTCTTCACATCATGCTTCCTGAAAGGGAACTCTGTATACAGGACGCCTTCCATTCTTCACTCCATTTTATTCTTCGAAATCCTTCAATCCAGGATGAATTCTTACAATTCCATTGTAATTCCCCTCACCAGGGTCATCAGTGACCTCAGCTGAAAATTTTATGAACTGTTTTCAGGGCTTTTCCTGTTTATTTTTTACATTCGGGATCTAAATCCTGTAACATAAAAAGGAAACTTTCTGCCCTGGCCAGTTTGGCTCAGCAGTTAGAGTGTTGGCCACGGACCAGAGAGGCCCGGGTTCGGTTCCCGCTAAGGGCAGGTACCTCGGTTGCAGTTTGTCCCCGGCCCGGTTGGGGTCATGTGGGTGGCGACCACTTGATGTGTCTCTCTCACATTGGTGTTTCTCTCTCTCTCTTCCTCCCTCTCTCCCTCCTGCTCTATCCGAAGATAAATGCAAGAATGTCCTCAGGTGGGGATAAAAAAAAAAAAAAAAGGGGGACAATTTCATGAAAAAGTTTGGACCATATGCTTTTGGACCATATTTCTAGATGGCCTAAGGAGAAACAAATTTTCTTTAAAAATATAATAAGAGCTAATATATTCATTTCTACAATGTGCTCTTGAAAAACATTTTTGACACTCTGTGTTTGCTGTTTATCAAGTTTGCTGTTTAGTATAACTTGATTATTATTCTTAACATTTAGTAAGAATAATCTTTATTATTTCAATTGAAATCTCATCTCAGATTTTGCAGCCCAGTGCATTCATTTTGGATAATAGATAAAATATTACAGGGTCAATTTGTTACTCTTTAAACATATATGAATCTTCTTCGTCTCATTCCACAGACTGCCGTATGCTTTAAAGTTGGTAAAATCATTTATGATTAACACGGTGAAGTTGGGCAAAAGTTGGGCTAATTACATTATCTTCAGAATCTCATAAAAAGATTTGGAAAACACTGCCATGCGAAGATTGTTTTTCTTCATTTTCCCAAAATAAGACTACTATGATCAATTTGTACAGTACTAGATGCTAAAGCCATGTGGAGCTTTCTATGCCTCAGTCAAAAAACATTTTCTTTTTAGTTTATGTTTTATAATAAATGATTTTAATTTTATTAAACATTGTATACTGCAAGGACTCTCTGCAGGTTGGACTATTACATTGAGAGTTTTAAGTAGTAGATTTTATTGTTTATGATGAATATTTTCTTTAGAAAACTGGGCATCATACAAATATCAAGATAATTTTTAATTTTTTAAATTATTGCCTACAATATGATATTAAATTCATATGCATAACATAGTGATTCAACATTTACATGTCTTATGGTGTGAATACCACACTAAATCTAGTAACCATCTGTCACCATGCAAATTTTCACATTTTTATTGACTATATTCCCCATCACCATTTTACCCTCCCCTCTGGCAACCATCGGTTTGTTCTCTTTTTCTATGAGTCTGTTCTTGTTTTGTTTTGTTTTTTCTTTTTGTTGTTTTGTTTTCAGCTTCTACATATAAGTGAAATTATACAGTTTTTGCCTTTTTTTTTGTCTGATTTACTTCACTTAGCATTATACACTCTGCAATCTAAGAATAGTTTAATCCAATCTCTTCACCCAGAAAGTAAATGAAAAAAAACTTTGTCTTAGTTATCTGATTATATCTTAGTGCTCCATTTCACCTGTAAGAACTGAGTTTATTGTAGTGCAATAAATAAAATATGGTATTCTAATTATTTTATTACTTTTATTTCTCTCCTGGTGAAAATGTGATATTTTTGAGAGTAGAAATTGCCTCTCTCTTTTTTTTTTTCATTCTTAACTTATTTTTCTGAATTTCTAACAGAGTATTTAGCACATAGTAGGCTTGCATAAATATTTGATAAATGAAAAAATAAAGTAAGGTTCCAGCTCCAGGAAAAAAAAGTTATTAAAGAATTAAATAGCTTGCCCTGGCTGGTTTTGCTCAGTGGTTAGAGCTTCGACCTGCGGTCCAGAGAGACTCAGGTTCAGTTCCCACTAAGGGCATGTACCTCCATTGCAGTTTGTCCCTGGCCCTGGTTGGGTTGTGTGGGTGGCAACCACTCGATGTGTTCCCTTCACATCGATGTTTCGCTCTCTCTCTTTCTTCCTTACTCTCCCTCCCACTGTATCTGAACAAAAAAAATGGAAAAAATGTCCTCAGGTGAGGATAAAAAAGGAAAGAAGAATTAAATATCTTGTATTCCCTGATTCTTAGGTTCTTAAGTCTATTAGCTTGGAAATTATAGAAGTATTAGAGGTATTTTTAGTAACAAAATCATATGTCACTCTCTCTTTAGATAGAAAGTTAATATCATAGTTCTTTTTCTGTCGCAGCAGAACTTCTAGAGGCACACAGTTGAGAAGACATAACTTAATAATTGTTGGTACATACTGATGATTGCTTCGTCAAATCATGGTGGTCACCATTCTTTCTTAAATGTAGATCAATATTTTGTATGATGAAGGAAAATCTAATGTATGCAGATTACATTTACTGAGCACTTTCTATGTTGTAGATGTGATGTATGTTTTGCTTACATTATTCTAATTTAACCCTCCCAGAAAATTGATGGCATAGATATTACTATCCAAATTTTGCAGGACAAAATACTGAGAATTAGAATAAAGTATCTTGACTAATTACATAATTAATAAAGAATAGAGCTATAATTTGTTCTTAGATTGACTTAAAAATCCAAACTCTCTCTACTGCACCACACAGCCAAATATTAAAGTACTTAGATGTCAGGTGCCATCATACTTGTCTTGGAAGCCATCACTGACTTTATTAGACGGTTATTAATATATCACTAAACAGCATTTTTCAAAATGGATATGATTGTAAGTTTAAGGAACTCAAGTAAACATTTGTTGAACAATATTTACTTTCTGCATAGTCTGATTATACAAAATATCAATTTTATATAAAATTTGTGAAAGTGCTCAAATCAGTCAAATTCTGCTATTTTTTTAATTTGAAAGCTATTTCCTCCAAGACATTTTTGGGCTTGCTTGTTTGTAAAAATGTAGCTTAAGTTATGACATAAAAGTGATTTCATTAACCTTCAACCTCAGTCCACACACATACATCTACATACACACTTGACCACAGTTTTTGTATTAATTCACACTGCTCTTGGTCTTATAACGTCTAGGCTTGTGAAAAGTATATAGAAAAATTTTATGTAATTCCTGAAATCTTTGAAAACCATTTCTGTTTTTCAATTAGCAAAAACTTTCTGGATATTTTTTTAAGAGTATTAAGCATTTTTTAATGTATTCTTGATCTACCTTATGAAATATAGAGGTCAGGATAATTGGAAATAATGAATGGCTAAATCAAACAATGCTTTTAATACCAAGGCATACAAATATCAATCAATATCAATATCATATCAATCTCCCTAGTAAAGTTACATGATTTTCGTATTATCATTTGATTGAGTCCACCAAGAGGAAAATATAATTTAAACAGAAAATGAGCTTCTGCCTCAGTTCACTAAAAACATACTAAAGATATTTTTATTTTCATGATTCCACTGGAAATGGAAGACTGTGCTGCGTCTCTGGATAGTATTAGTTTAAAAAAAGAAGAAGAAGGATTTTGTCCAGTCTGTGTGGCTTACTGGTTGAGCATCGACCCATGCACCAAGAGGTCACCGGTTAGATTCCCGGTCACGGCACATGCCCAGGTTGTGGGCCCAATCCCCAGTGGGGGGCATGCACGAGGCAGCCAATTGATGTTCTCTCTCATCGATGTTTTAATCTCTCTCTCCTTCTCACTTCTTCTCTCTCTAAAAAAAAAAGAAGAAGAAGAAGAAGGATTTCTACTGGGCTCCCATTCCCAAAGTGGGTGACAAATCAAATTGTTGAAGTCAATATTCTTGCATACTGAGGCTGCTATAAATTTAATAATGCTTTAATATGGATGCTTTTAATTTTTGAAGGGACAGTCTAAATGCAGAGCAAATAACCTAATTATTTCAATCAGTTTTATTAAGAACAAAAGCATAAGTCATTTGAATCATCATTTGGAGTTCACATTGACAAAATATGACCTACGTAATTCAACCAGGCTCTGTGCCTTTTCCTAGATGCTTTTTGCACAAATAGAACTGTCACTGGTATTACTTAGCTTTCTCTATGAGAACAAATATGTTTTCTGAATGTAGACCCATGTCTCTTTCAGAGATTATAAATAAAGACTAGCAATTCCAGAAATAATAGGTTTCTGTCCTTTCTCAGTAATTCTCCCTTCCAAGTGTAGAGTCACTGATTTCAGAAAGACAAACATAAATTCCCTTACTTGGTTTCCCTTTTCTTTCTAAAGATGGAAAATAAACCACTTTACAATTTCATGTCTTTCACTGAATTATAATACTTTAACTAATTAAGACTATCTTTTGAATGGGTAAAAAAATCAGAAATATGAAAAGGAAGCAAAGTCCATGGTTTTCAAGAGAAATAGTTGTGTTCAATTTTATTCGGGAGTTTTTTATTACACCTAAATTGCATGATTATTGCTTTAAATCTTTAAAGTGCTATAGTTGCAATAAGTTTCATTTTTGAATGAATTTATTGCATATTTTACATGTTCTATTGCCCCAATTACATTTTTAGTACTGTGTCATTATGCAATCATAAATAGCACAAATATAAGTAATATAATCAAATTAAAGTATTTAAATAAAAAATTTAAAACTATTTTTTATTTTTATGTATCAGCTTTTCATTTAGAATATGCAAAATGCAGATTTCTTAAGATTAATGCATATTAAAAATTACATTTATTTTTTTTTTAGATCCAAGAAATTAGTAGAAATAATGAGCAAGATCATGACTATGAAGAGGATATTACCTCACTTTCTGCATATTTCCCCAGTAAGTGTTCCTATATGTTATATATAATGTATGTATGTAATGTTTGAATTATATATATGTAACTGGAAAAGTAAGACTGAAGAGATCATGGAAAAGTAATTAACTGAATCACTCTTAATTTATAATATGGCACAGATATTACAAAACTATCTTGCTATTAAAATACTTCCAAGTTCAGTGTTTAATAATCAAACACCAGTTTTTTCCTACCAAAGAAAGTACACAAGTCAGGTTGATGTAAACATTCTGACTATTTAACGACTACATTTTTTACAGTTTGTTTTTATTTCTGAACAAAGTCACTTTTTTTTTTTTAGACCTTAGTTTCCTCCACTAGGAAATGAGAAGGTCACAAAAGAACACTCTCTAAGATCCTCACTGGCTGCCATGGGACGTAATTCTATAGTCTAATGTCTGAAGATTAGCCCAGCGTCTTTGTAGATACATGTCACTGTGCCCTTTATGTCACATTCTTTTGGTCTAAGACAACTGCTTAACCAGCACCTCTGACATGCATCTCCCACCTAATACTTCCAAATCTGGAAACCGAATCCCTGCCACTCCCAACCTGGTCCACATGCTGACTGCCCATTCCAGCAAGTGAAGATGTCACTTTAGTCCAAAACATTGATCATCTGTGGTTTTTTTACTTTGTCTCCTACCCCATGTCCAATTTCTCCAGTAATACTGTTGGTTCTACCTTCAAAACAGAGCCAGCAGTCAGCCATGCCTCCCCTTTTATTATGATCAGTCCTAATCCACACTGTCATCAGCTCCCCCTGGAGTATTGCAGTAGCACAGTGTCTCTCCAAGGAGGGCTGTTTTCTGTCTCTAAAACAGGATATCTGTCAATGAATGGAGACTTTTTTTCAATTGCAGTTTACATTCAGTGTTAGTTTGTATTCATTTCAGGTGTACATCATAGTCATTAGACAATCATATACTTTACAAAGTGTTCCCCTGATAAGCCCAGTACTCACCTGGCACCATATATAGTTATTACAACGTTGTTGACTATATTCTCTATGCTGCACTTGACATTCCTGTGACTATCTTGTAACTACTAATTTGTGCTTCTTAATCCCTTCACCTCTTCCTCCCAGACCCCAACCCCCATCCCCTCTGGCAACCATTAGATTTCTATCTGTATCTATGAGTCTGTTTCAGTTTTGTTTCTTCACTTTGTTCTTCAGATTCCACATATAAGTGAAATCAAATGGCATTTGTCTTTCTCTGACTGACTTATTGCCATGACTTGAGAAGGTAGGTTTGCTATGAGCATTTACAGAACAGAGACAACAGAAATGCTGCTAAATATCCTATAGGACATGCCCCACACAGCATAGGAGTATCCAGTCCCAAATTTCAACAGCATGACTGCTAAGAAACCCCGCCAATAGCAGCTTCCACGGTTGTTGCCACCCAAATACACTATGCTTCCTGCAGGAGATAATCACTCTTCTGCTCCAAATCTTCCAACACCTGCCCATCATACTTACAATCTTTCTCACCACCGACGAGGCCCTAGATCATCATCTCATCTCACCACTCTCCGCTGGTTCACAGCCTCAGGGACATCTCACACATCAAGCGTGCTTTTGCCTCGGGGCGTTTGTGCTTTTACCAGTGCACAGTCAAAGCTCAGCTCAGCACCACTGACCACCAGTTTTTCAAGTGATAGGCTCACCTGCAAATCCAATAAATTAAATACTAATGTACCTCAGCAAAGTCAGTAAACTCCTTCAAACATTATTACAAAACACAAAACAATACTCAATATGAAAGCAATGCATTAGTACATGAAGCTTTCTTGTTATACATTTTTTTTTTTTAATAACAAAAGTGATGATAAAGACCATCATTAATGACCATATATTCAATATGACATTTAATCCTCAGAAAAACTGTCTGTAGTCAGGAAACATTATTTCAGTTATTTGTACAGAGCAGTCTCATTCCTTCAGACAGTGTGGACCTGGAACTGTCTCATCTGTGAAACTCAGTGTAACCGGACTCAGGCCTTGGGCTCTTTCATGGGAGAGGGGGTGAAGCATAGAACACCCGCCCTAAGTCAGCAGACTCCCATTGCTTCCACCATTACTGTGAAGCTTCGAAATCCTGCTGACTCACTGCTGACTCTCCAGGGCTGGATTCCAGGTGTGGGCATATTTGACAAGGACCAAAGAGACTATTGTTTAGAGAGTGTATACATCAAACTAAAAACGGAATACCTCCACATAAGGATGGCTACACGTAGTTTCTTGTAGTGTGAGTATAAGTCTGAGTTGGTGTTCCGTTTGCCCAGAGACGCAGTGAAGTCCCTTTGCTAGCCCTGAGCAGTCATTCTTTTTCAGTTACTCCATGACCTACTCCATCAGCATTTCCAGCAACTGCTTTGTTTCAGGCGCAGTGTTTGGTGTGAGAGGTAGAAAGCTGAGATGTGTGCAGGGATCTGTGCAAGGATGAAAGGCTGTCTGCTCCGCCTGGGCCAGTAATTAAAGAAGCTTGGTTTGCAGTTCCAGTCCTGGCAGCTGTCTTTCCTTCTCACAGGGAAGAAGAGAAAAACAAGAAAAAAAATTCCATGTAGAAATATCGGGTACCGTCATAGGCATGATTTTTCTACATGACTAATTGATTTTCCCATTGCTGAATATTTTCTACATTGTAACCTTTTATTGTTTAAAAAATCAGACTTTTATTTTTTGCATTTTTTTCCTCTATATTGAATGTATTGGGGTGACACTGGTTAACAGGAGTATACAGGGTTCAGGTGTTCAATTCTGCAACACATCATTTGTACACTGTATTGTGTGCCCAACACCTCAAGTCAAGTTTCTATCCATCACCATTTACGCCCCCCCCCCATATCCTCCTCCCCTTTCCCTCCCACACAGTGATCACCACACATCATTTTTTTCTATATTCACTCTTGCTTTTTTAGCTTGGCAACAATATCTTAGTTTAGCAACACTTTAAAACAATTATTTGCTTTTCATTTGCATTGATGATAACAACAATTCACATATTCCATGCAATGCAGAGATTCAAGTTTTGTTTTAAAATTTTGTGAATCCTTAATTTAGAGCAGAATTTTTATAAAGAGGATATAAACAATTTTTTTAAGATTTAAAGGCATTGCATTATAATATTTTTTTCTATTTTTTTAGAGAGCATTTATTGTGTACAGTATAAAAACAAATTTTGGAATCATGATTCTTAGATGGAGGGAATTCAGATAATTTGGCTAACTTTCAGAATAGAACATATTTTATCAGAGAGAGAACTGAGTGTTAATACTGAGCCTTAGAAAGATCTACCTACACTAATGGTGATTTGATGCCTTCCTCATCAAATAAACATCAACACTTTTCTCAAGTAATATTTTCAAGAATTAAAGTAACATCTGCTGATAAATATGTATTAAAATAATAACTAAGAATCACAGATTTCTTTTTATTGCATTGTTTACAACCAAGTTAAGATTTATTTTTCCTTGTCTTTACCTTTTCCATCACTTATTACTATTATGTCAGTTATAAAAATGCAGTAATGCAATCATATCTATGAAATCTGCTTGAACAGTAACTCTAGAGACTCAGAATATTATACGTGTAAGTGTGCCTCATACTGAGGTAGCAAGATATAATGGAGCTTTAACTATTCGTTCGGTAAATATTTTAAAAGCCCAAGAATGACTATTCACCAAAATTATGCATTTGTCAGCTTTCTACTATATCACATCATAAAAGTTTTATTAGCAGTACTACCACTTCTGTATGAAATTACAAGCTATGAAATGCCTCCAGATGGTGTGTTTAAATGAAACCATACAATCTTCTTCATAAGCAGCCATACAGAACCCAGCATTTCATCATGAAAGTGGGCAGACAGACGGGCAGAGTGCTGAAGGAGCTGAGGCAAATGAAGCAGCAAAGGAAGAAAAAGAGAATGAGTCCGGCGCGGAGGCCAAGCACAGCCTACCCGAGGTTGACAGCAGGAGTTCCGAGGACCAATGTGATGACTTGTATATGTTCATTCCTGGAGACAACCCAGAAATCAATTCACAAGAGCCACTCGTGAACGACAGACCACCTCTCCCCCCTCCACGACCTGCAGTTGCTGCCCTTCAACTGGATAAACCTCACTCCACATTACAAGGTAAATTCAGAGTTAAAATAACAACAAATTATCTCTGACAGACACAGCATATAGGGTGGTGGCAAATCTATACAAAGAAGATCAGCTTCTAAAACTAAGAATAACTTTGTTCTGTTCTTTAACAGCTAGGGCTTGGGAAATTAGGCAAGAGATACTGCTGCTAACCCTTCCCTCCCTCCCTCCCTCCCTCCCTCCCTCCCTCCCTCCCTCCCTTCCTTCCTTCCTTCCTTTCCTTCCTTCTTTTCCTTCCTTCCTTCCTTTCCTTTTTCCTCCTTCCCTCCTTTCTTCCTTCAATCTTTTCTTCCTCCCCTCCTTCTTTTTTCCTTCCTTCCTTCCTTCCTTCCTTCCTTCCTTCCTTCCTTCCTTCCTTCCTTCCTTCCCTCCTTCCTTCCGTTCTTCAATCTTTTCCTCCCCCTCCTTCTTTTTCCTTCCTTTCTTCCTTTCTTTCCTTCCTTCCTTCCCTCCTTTCCCCTTTCCTTCCTTTCCTTCTTCCTTCCTTCAGTCTCTCCTTCCTTCTCTCCTTCCTCTTTCTTTTCTTTTTTCTCTCCTTCCCTCTTTCCTTCCTTCCTTCCTTTTTCCTTCCTTTCTTCCCTCCTTTCCTCTTTCCTTCCTTCCTGGCTTCCTTTCTTCCTCTTTCCTTCCTGTTCTTCCCTCTTTCCTTCCTTCTTTCCTTCTGGAACAAAGTCTCACTTCCAAGTTTCAGTAAGTAAAAAAGTAACTCTAGGAAGTAGTCTGTAAATTCTTCCCATAAAATAAACCTCAAGTAATATGGAAAAATAAATGACAAATTTGTTTCTAAAAAACACTCTTAGTCTTCCAGCAAAAGGGAAGACTAATGTCAGCACAGATTTGAAAATGACCTTGGGCATTTCACTCAGTCAGTAGCTTCAAGTGAAGCAAAGTGACAGACGTTGTATCACACCCTGCACAGGCTGACAACACTGTACAAACATTGCTTAAGTGGAAAACAGTCAAGGACTATGAGTAGATTTGCTCCCAGATGCAGAATTAAGGTGTGTAATGGGGAGGGGTCAGGGAGCATCAAGAGGAGCTTCCATATTGGCCGTATTAACCTGAGTGTTATTAGCACCAGACTGACAAACTTCCAGCTTCACATTCACTCTTACAGTCACTCAGTTTTACCCACTTTATTGATCCCTATTTTATATTTACATTCCAAATTCAGAAAATATTCCTACAAAAAAAGTTAATAAGGAAGATGAAAGAAATATTTATTATCAAAATCCCATTTGTCACAATACTTTAGTTGTTCATTCCTAGAAGATTATAAAGTATAAACTTTATTTCAAAAAGTAAATTTTGAAGCCATGAAATATATTTAACATTTGTGTCCTTGAAGGCCCTGTCTCTATGAAGGTTCGAGTTGATCAACTTGACTTGTACTATGCACTGTATTTAGAGATGGAAACTACTGCTTAATGGAAAGTATGGAAAAACCTCATGGGCACTCCTGTGATCCACTCACTCATTCAAATGATATTTATTGATTACCTACTATGTGCCAAGCTCATATAGACCATTAAGATAGATCAATGAAGTAGGTGGATCAATCTTGGAAGTTGGGGGAGGGACATACATCGATGGTATACTGACATAAAAATTCTGGTATATTGTTATCATTTTAACAGATGTAAAAAATTTCATATAAGTATTAAAATTAATTGTTAAGAGGCAAAGTTGTGTTGTATCAGGTTAAATCTCTTAAAGGTGCTAATATTAAATTACATTTTTTCCTAATGGACATCTCTATATATGGCATATTTGTTAGGAGTTCCAAAAACTATTCTACACAGAGTATTGACCAAATATATAAGACCAGAGTGTAAGTTTGGTTAATATATTTTCTGAAAAGTACCAAATATAAAAAGAAAAGATAATAAAAATCCACTCCTTTTATGTAAAACCTCTGTTTTTATATTTCATATGTAGTGCTACTTTTACTCTCATCTTTTCATAGCTCTGATATTGGCAGTAAATGGAAAATAAAATGTGAATTTTTTTTTTCTGAAAGTACTTTAAGGTTTTTGAAAATAATACTGGAAGCTTCCACTTATCTTTTTGCCAGAGCCTTTGTATGGGTTCTTTGACTTTAGCTAGTGATACCTTCAAGAATTGTCCTTTAAGAGTAGCTTCCATATGTCCTCAAGTTACTATAAAAGAGAGGCCTCTTCATCAATTCCCTAAGCATCAAATTCATCATGATGGATTTGTAGACATATTAACTGTAGAAAACAATAATATAAAACACTACAGGCCACTTTTTTTTTAATCCTCACCTGAGGATATTTTTCTATTTATCTTCAGATAGATGGGAGGGAGGGAGGGAGGGAGGGAGGGAGGGAGAGAGGGAGAAAGAGAGAAAGAGACATCGATGTGAGAGAGGCACCTTGACTGGTTACCTCCTGCACAACCCCAAATAAGGCCAGGGACTAACCACAACTGAGGTACATGCCCTTGACCAGAATCAAACCCACGACTCATTGGTCTATGGGCCGATGCTCTAACCTTTGAGTCAAACCTACCAGGGCTTTTAGTTTATAAAGAGTTCATTGCCCCTTTTTATCTTTTCAACAAACTTACCTGGCAGCCATCACTTAGGATTTCTCTTTGACTCAGACCCAAGACTGTAGAAACTGTAATTAGAATGTGTCAAAAATACTACTCTGGACAGGTTTTCTGGGATTGTGGAGATTCTTCTCTCTGTATACACTCTTACCCCAATTATTTCAAAAAATTTGAATTATAGAAGTGATTCATTTCAATCTTTATTTGCTAATGTACAACCTGCATTGAGAAAGCGCAGGACCCACTCTGACATGAGAAGTATCTGCTGAAATAAAAAGTGAAATGTATTACTTCTTGTGCAAGCCCAACTTTAAGAGTTGGGAAGGGAAGTGGGTGGAGAAACAAAGATAACAGTTCAGGAAATCAGTTCATAAAAATAAGATAGTTGACACATTCCGCTAAAAATAAAGCACTGGAAAAGTGTTTCCCACACACTTAATCTGGTTTCACCTGTGATGCTGTCAGGAAGACAGAAGTCATGAAGTCAAAATCTCAATATTGTATTATTCTGAGGGGAAAAGGTGAGTCATGGTGATTTCAAAGTTAGTTCTAGGAGTGAGGCCTCTATACTTCTTGGGTTAAACTACCCCTCCCCAAAATGACGCATCTTCCTATACTAATATTCCTTTGTTCTTCTCTACAACTCATCTTTCTCTTTAGTTACTAAATGTTTCCATTAAAATATCTGTAAGTAAACTAATTTTTTTTTTTTTTTTGGTCACAGGCTCACCCAAGGGAAGGAAGAATCATTCTCCTTTAGTTCATATGCCTGAACCTCCCAGAACAACATAGAAAAGCAATGATTTTTTTTTTTGTCAGTAACTAAAATCTTTTCCATTTTATTGTTTTTGTTAATACTTTAAACAAAACATTTGTCAAGGGGCAAAAATTTTAACCTTCTCATTGGCAGAGAGCCATCAAAATTCTTTTCAACTTATTCATTAACCAAAGTATGATATCCTTATCTTCTAAATAACTACGACTAAAATATTTAAATAAGTTTTTATAAAAATATGTAAAGGTTTTACTAAGTATGTAAACCATCAAAGACTATTCATTCTTTTCATGAGAATTAATGTTCAAGCCATTGATTATCCAAGCCATCTTTTAAGTCATAAACCCTACTGTCAGTGTTCTTCATCTGATGATGAGGTTCATGTTGACTTGTAGAAACCAAGAGTTTGGAGGCCAGTTTGTGAGAATGTAAGAAACCAAATGACAGTGCTTTCAGCTATTCCACTCTGTCATTTTCAGAGAAATTAAATTTTAGGTAGAATACCCAGTGCAAACCCAATGAAAGATAAAATTATTTCAAATGGAAAAATATGTATATAAGAGTATTATACTTGAAAAACACAAATTTTCAGCCCTGGCCGGTTTGGCTCAGTGGTTAGAGCATCGGCCTGCGGTCCGGAGAGACCCGGGTTCGGTTCCCGCTAAGGGCATGTACCTCGGTTGCAGTTTGTCCCCGGCCCTGGTTGGTCGTGCGGGTGGCAGCCACTCGATGTGTCCCTTTCACGTCGATGTTTCTCTCTCTCTCTCTCTTCCTCTCTCTCCCTCCCACTCTATCTGTGCAAAAAATGGGAAAAAAATGTCCTCGGGTGAGGATAAAAAGAAAAACACAAATTTTCAAAGCATTTGTAATTTGAGATTTAATTTTTAACTTGATTTTCTGATATTAAATCATTCATGAACTATGTAGAAACCATTTATATGCTTATTTATTTTTGAAAGAAATCCATGTCTTAAACATTTTTTTTTCTTAACAGTTAATTACAGACTACAGGACAATATGTGGGTAAATTCCATGGTTCACTTTTCTCTTTGGGGAATTTATGGTATAATGTATCAATTATTATGGAGGAAGTTCAGACAAGTCTTAGGTGAACATTAAAAATATTGCATATAATTGAAGAGTAACCACCCTCTATATATTTCATAAACAGGGAATATGTTGGAAGGCCAAATGGAAAGAAGTTTAAATTGGGGTGATCCCAGTGCAAAGGAGGAAGTAGGAAGTGAACCTGAAGAAGAGGAAGAGAAGACAGAAGATGAAAAGGAGCAGGAGGAGGAGGAAGATCCATACACTTTTGCTGAGATCGATGACAGTGAATATGACATGATACTGGCCAATATAAGTCCAAAGAAAAAAACGGGAGGTCGGTCTTTCATTATAAATAGACCTCCTGCCCCCACACCTCGACCCACAAATATCCCTCCGAAAGCAGAAACCACACCCTACATAGCTCAAGGTAATGTCTTTGGTTGTGTGTGTTTGGTGGTAGGATTGCCCTCTTTTTTGGTGGGATTCAAAACCCCAAAGATAAAAAACATATTATTGTCATAGGTGACTTGTATTGGACTATTTTTAAATTTAGGAACACAATGTATAAAGAAAAGAATTAAGGAGTAGGGTTCTGGTTTGTACTTCTTCATTAAGAAGGATAATTTTCACAAACCTTCCAAAGATTATGAAACCATAGCATGTGTGAAGACATTGTTTGACGTTTCCATAATTCTGTAAGAGGGAAGCTCAACTCCTATGAATAATGTGCAGCATAAGAAAAGAAGGTAGGTACTTTACTTTTTGCCCCTAACTTTACTTTTGGCTCCTAATTCTGTTTAAGATAACTTTAAAAAATCTAAACTGTTTGAATAGTTGAATCTCAGATATGTAACCACAATTTCTCTGATAATTATACTTTACTCCAATGATTAAGATTCACTTCATCTATCAGAGAATTTCTACTTCATTTTAAGCATCGTTTTTTCTTTCCCATTCATTTCTCAGGATGTATTGACTCTACTCATTTCTTAACACTGGTTTGGTACACTCCATGACTCCATAGTGTGTAGGAGATGACTTTTCTTTATCAGTGCAGTGCATGCAAATAAATGTGTGGAGTGCCTTTTGGGGCTAAGATGCCATCCTAGGAACAAAGAATATGGAATAAAACAATGTCTCCATCTCAGAGGAGTTTTAGGCAACAAATATGCAGATAAAAACATAAAGTACAATGTGACCCATTATTAGAGGTTTTTAAACAAAATTTTTGGAATCAAAAAATGTTTAGGTGAGAACTAAAGCTGAGAGGCAATAGATTACACATTTAAATAATTCAAACCAGCTACTGAAACAGAAAATTTAAATGTATATACTACAAATCCACCCAAAAGGAACACAGTTACTCATCTGTGCTTAATAGATTAAAAAGAAATCATTTTATTGCTTATGCAGTATGTATTGAGGGATTTGTATAAGAAAATTGAGAAAGTAGATATAAAGTTGTTTACCAGTGTATAATACACATATTTAACAGTAAGCTGCTGCTGATAATGTTCAAGAAACTATTAAAAATTAGAACATGATGACAAATTTAAAAATGTTACAGCTAAAATAAAATGTGCTGGAACAATTAGCTAGATTATTAAGGCAGTGGAGAAGTTGCAATTAGAAATTCTCAGATTGTCATGGTGACCGCAAGAATATTACTGGCTCTTTGACAAGGTTGCTATATACCAATAAATATTTTTAAAGACAGAACATAGATGTAGCTCAATACAATAATTTAGTTATATTTTAGAAATCATAAAGAGGTACATCATCTTCTCTATCCTGATCCTGGAGTTCCCAGGACAAGTACAGACTTGTTGTCTGGTCCTCTTTGTCCTTCATCTTTCCATTCGTCAGTTGGCTGCCGTAATCTTGTTTTCCATGGGCTCTTTCTTGTTCTCGATTTGTTCTTTTTTTTTTTAACTGTTCTTTTCTCTTTATTTGGTGGGGAAGGTGGCAGTATATTCAAAATTTTGATTACTGTTTTGTTTCATTTTACTTTTATTTTTGAATTTGGGGATTTATATTTTTCTTCAGCTCTCATGTGGTGCTCATTATCTTTGTTGTTCGTGCTCTCTGGAATGCTTAATATTCTATCAACTATCTGGCTATCTTAGCTATATTTTATGTTTGTTTGTTAATCCTCACCTGAGGATGTTTCTTCCATTGATTTTTAGAGAGGATGGAAGGGGATGAGGGAAGGGGAGAGAAACATCAACATGAGAGAGACACGTCCATTGGTTGCCTCCTGCATGCACCCCGACCCACTGGAGCCGGCGGTAGGACCTGCAACCCGGGCACGTGTCCTTGATTGGGAATCAAACCTGTGACCCAAATCCTAAACGGAAACTCTACATGTTAACTTGTGGACTGAATTGTAGGGCAATGGAGAGATAACAAGCTTTTTTACTGAATTATTCCCAAAACGTTAGTTTATATAGATCTATTCTTCTAAACCTTCCAATTTTTCTGGAATAAAATCCAATGAACTCCAACCTACATTTCGATATCAGTTTGCCAGCACTCTGAGATCAGAGTGTTGGAAGAAGACTGGGAAATTTCAGCATTTAGAATGCACAATTTAACTTGTTATCCCCATTCAGTCCAGTGTATAGCACCTGCCAACCACTGGGCCTCATGTCTGATGGCCAGAAACATTTCTGCTCAATGTTTCATAAAAATTTAACTTCCATCATGAATGATTGCTAATTTCATTGGAGAAGGAATTTGGGGCTATAATTGCTTTAAACTTTTAATCCTCATGTATAAGAGAATTGAGATGATGTTCCTCCTCAATTATGTATTTATTAATAATTTATTAATTATTATTTGGTACTGAATAAAAACTTAATACCAAATAATAAAGTATTTTAGCATATTATGTAAATTCCATACATGACAATGGTATAATTTGTCACACACACACACACACACGAACTTTAAAGAATCTTAGAAATCTTGAGTTTCTAAGAAATTTTAAAGGCTATTTATCTCACCTACTTATAAGCCAGATACCCTTCAACATTCATAAGAATTCTTTCTAATTCAAAAACACAATCTAATGTGTTCTCACATTTGTGTTATATGCAGAGAGGAACCAAAGTTATAATTTATTATTATTATTATTATTATTATTGTATTTAAGTATATGAAAGCTGGTATGGTTATTTGCCCCACATCCCAAACCAGTAGCATACTACTGACTTGTAAGTGATGTCACTAACATCTCTTTTCATCATTTCTTCCTTTACTCTTTCACAGATATATTCACTTGCCTCTTCCTTTATGCTATTGATTTTTTATTCCGTTCCCACATTATAAAAACATTGCCTCATCAGCCAATTCTTTCTTGAAGTTCTTTGCATTTCACAGGGTAAAAGTCATCATATTTTTTCTTTTTCCTTTTTTTTCCCTAGCTCATGCAAATAAATATGTAATTACCACCATTTCCCAGAAAGCCATCCATTCAATTAGAACATTAAATTGCCCCAATTCTTGACAGAGTGCAGAAGTGGTGGCGGAATGTTGGCACATCCCGGGTTGTTAATAGAGCCAAAGAAGAAGGGTGTGGAGTAGGGGAAGGAAGAAGAATGCAGGATGCAGAATCCCAGCTCCTATTTCAGGAACTCAAGAAAGTACTGGCAAAGAAACTAGGCAAACAAACCAGAGAGATACAGGAAAATCCTCTTGGCTTTTGAGAGATAATTGAAAATATATATATTGGTTTCTACCCCTGGCACAAAGTTCCTGAAGCCCTTGCAATTTCCTGAGTAATGTGGGTGTCTTTGTTCTAATGAGGCAACTCTGTATGGGCCCCTGGATCAGGGCTGGTAACTGGAAAGACCAAACCATGGTTTGAAGCTTAGAATTTTCAGCCCCACCCACCCTCCATTCTCTTGAGAAGGGAAAAGGGCTAAAAATGGAGTTTATGATCAATCATGTCTATGTGAAGAAGCCGCTATAAAAACCCAAAAGGAGGGGATTCTGAGAACTTCCAGGTTGGCAAACATGTCACACTGGGAGGGTGACACAGCCCAACTCCACAAGGATAGAAACTTGTGTGTTTGGGACCCTCCCAGGCCTCACCCTATGTTATCTCTTCATCTGGCTGTCCATCTGTGTCCTTTATCATATTCTGTAAAAAAAATAAATGTAAGTCTCGTGTGAAGAGGGGAGCCCATGCAGAATGAGACGAAGTTCTAGCATATTTGCACATATGAGCATTCTGACTGCTTTCATACAGCGTACCAAAGAAAAGCTGTTTCCACCTTCACCACATCTCCTGCCTCCGGAAATGTACCATTAGTACAAAATTAAACTATGAATTGTTATATTTGAGAGATATTTTCCTGATCTTTAAAATTCTATTTCTGTTATACTATACCTAATTTTATGTTAACAACCACAAAAGAGTAACTCATTTTTTTAATGTAAAGTTTTTGAAGTCTCTCTGCTTTCAGATACTGTATTCCCCCACCTGTTTCTCCCTATACTATTGAAAAGGATCAGGTTCATTAGGCTTCAAGAATATAGAGGAATTAGCATGGATTTACAGTGCTTCCTGGTGACAGCATTCTTGATTTAAGACAAATCAAGGGAAGAAAATGAGCACTTTGCATAGTGTAGGTAGATTGGTAGTAAAACTATATTCATAAATCATGCAGAGACGACTGCCTATTGGGGAAAATTTTTAGCATCAAAGGACAGTTTCCCATTTTTCCCTCACATAATTAATAGAACCAAGACCCTTCTTCAGAGTCCATGCTTCTGATTTGGAGTAGAATATAATTTCCCTTTCAATTTTCAATTGCTACAGAGTTGCCCTTGGCATTTTGCAGTGCAACAAAGCTGTATATGACCTTTTTGAGAGCTACTCAGCTGCCAGGACCCCAAAATGTCAAGTACAACTTAGTTGCTCTCAGAAAATTTCCGCTTGCGATTCACTTATACTTGAAATAGATCATATACAACGCAGTTGAAATGCAAACAGAGAAAAAGAAGAAGAAGAAGACCTTGTAGAATCTCTTAGGAAAATTAATCCATATAGTAAATGTAACATTGTAAATGTAACAGAGTGGAATGGTCTCTGTGCTCCTTAGTGTAGAAATATAGTCAAGTGGATTGAAGTAGGCTTTAGGTCAAGGGCCTTTGGTCCTCCTCTTTGGCTTGGTGACCTTGTCCAAACCATTTAGCATCAGGATTTAGTATGTATATTACAGGTGCTCTCAGGACAAAGAAACATATTTATCATTCTGTTTGGAAGCCCAGTTTCCCTCTCTTCCCCTGTGATTCTCTCTGTCTCTCTCCTTTCCCTGATAGGGTACTGGTGCAACTCTTCAAAGGAGCAGTTGTTCAGACCTGTGTGCACACTGTTCATTAGAAGGTATCAAGCCTGCTTGTGTAACCCAAGTATTTCTG